AAATATATTGGCTGATAATTGTCTTCTATTAGGTGATTTCACACGAGATAAGGTAATAGAAAAACCTTATGCATGCCACTGTTGTGAATATGTTGCTTCCTGGATTTGATTGTTTATTCAAATTTCCTCTGCCGTTATGACCGTCCAGAAATTTTAGACCAGTTATTGTGGTATAGGTTTTGTATATGGTAGGATTTAGGGTGTTGATGAGATGGTGAATTGATGGACAGAGATTGGCAATGAACCCATGGAAGCGCACTGTTTTATTTGAGACTCTTGTCTCACAAAGAGTGACCATTATGATTCAGCTCCTTAATAAATAACGCTCTGGAGTTGGAATCGATTGATCCCGGGTTTGAGTCTCAGTTAGAACAACATTGCCCGCTGAGACGTAGGTACACCTAACTGATGAGTCCCAAATAAGATGAAACGTACATTTTGAACCCCACTGCTGGTCACCATCCAACGTTAATATCAAAACGAAAACGACAGGAAATATCGAGGCATCCTCCTATATGCCAATAATAAAGACCGATCAATTCGGTCCAATCAACCTCGCCTGGTTAACTAGTTTACTAGTTACTAGCCGGTCCTAAGCCCCAACAAAGAGGGAAGGTTGGGCATAGAGCTAGCAACCCTACCCCGTAAAACAAATCTAACCGCTAAAGAAACTTCAAAGCACAAACAAAATATAAAAAATGAAAACAAACTTATTCCCCGCTGGAATCGGAGAGGCGAAATGACGCCAGTTGGTGAAAGCCTGCTTCGGGAAGCCGATTGGCCGATGTGTCTTCTCTCGATGAAAGCGAAAGTAAACGTGGGGACATGGAATGTCCGCACGATGTTTGAACCCAGTAAGGCAGCCCAGATTGCAAAGGAGATGAGAAGGTATCACATTGAAGTGCTTGGAATTTGCGAAAGCAGATGGAATGGGAGTGACCTCTCCAAACTGTCAACTGGAGAATCAATAATCTACTCCATATTGTCACCCAGACGCCAACCACGAGCACACTGAGTTATGGAGTGGCTATCATGATGTCCCCAAGAGCATCGAAGGCTCTCATGCAGTGGGAACCAATCTCCTCCAGGATCATGACAGCAAGATTCAACTCAAAAGGAAGAAAGGTCACAATCATACAATGTTATGCACCTACAAATAATGCAGAGCAAGAGAAAAAGGAGGATTTCTACAGACAACTTCAATCAACACTGGACAAGACGTCAGTTGGCGATATCAAAATTCTAATGGGCGACATGAATGCCAAACTGGGAGGGGACAACACGGGAAGAGAACTAACCATGGGTCGAGAGGCGCTAGGTGAAATGAATGAGAATGGAGAATTGTTTGCAGAATTCTGCGCATTCAACGATTTGGTGATTGGAGGCAGTGTGTTCAGGCACAAAGATATCCACAAAGCGACATAGATTTCACCAGATGGACACACTAAAAATCAAATCGACTTTATCTCAATCTCAAGAAAATGGAGACGCAGTCTACTTAACACAAGGTCAAGAAGAGGAGCAGATGTAGGCTCAGACCACTATCTAGTGCAAGGAACCTTCCAAATCAAGTTAAAAGCCTTCAAGGAAGTTGGTGATAGACCTCAACTCAAGTACAACACTCGGAAACTGAAGGATGAAACTACAAAGGAAATCTTCAAGGCAGCCATCAAGACAAAATGGGAGACATCGAGCAACATCCCTGAAGAAACCTGTGTGGAAGAACACTGGAAGTCTTTGAAAGCTATGTGGAAAGAAACCTGCACAACAGTATTAGGACGGAAGAAGAAAGAAGATAAGGAATGGATCTCGACGGATACCTGGAAGCTGATAGAGGAGAGGAGGATGGTGAAGCAGAAGATAAACCAGTGCAAGGATGCTCAACGACAAGAGGAACTGAGCACAATGTATAAAACACTGGACAAAGAAGTGAAGAAGAGTGCACGGAAAGACAAAAGACACTTCTACGAAACACTGGCAAGTGAAGCAGAACAGGCTGCAGGTAAGAGAGACCTGACGACATTGTATCAAATAACCAGGTTGCTATCAGGGAAGAGACCAACACAGATGAAACCAATAAAAGATGAAGAAGGAAATTTAATTACAAAAGAAGAGAAACAGAGGAAACGATGGGCCGACCACTTCAAGAAGCTCTTGAATCGACCACCACCACCACCTGCACTTCGTCCAGAAATACCACCTGCACCGCAGCCGCTGAATTACAAGTGAACATTAATCCCCCAACCAAAAGGGAAGTCCTGAACGCCATAAAGCTACTGAAATGTGGGAAAGCAGCAGGACCAGATGGAATACCGCCAGAAGCACTGAGAACAGATGCAGAGACAACAGCGGACATGCTCACACCACTATTGCAGAAGGTGTGGAAGGAAGAGAAGGTACCTGACGATTGGAAGAAGGGTTACCTTGTCAAACTGCAGAAGAAGGGAGACCTGAGTGCTTGCAAGAACTGGCGCGGAATCACTCTCCTGTCCACCCCAAGTAAAATATTAAGCCGCATCATCCTAGAGAGGCTTAAAGACGCACTGGATTCAAAACTGCGACCGGAACAGGCAGGCTTCAGGAAGTACAAATCATGTGCAGACCAAATTGCAACCCTTCGCATTATCATAGAACAGAGCATAGAATGGCAATCAGCTCTCTACCTCAACTTCATCGACTTTGAGAAGGCCTTCGACAGCGTCGATCGAGAAGTAATTTGGAAACTGCTTCAATACTACGGAGTACCGCAAACCTTTATCCGCCTCATTCAACAACTATATGAAGATGCCACATGCCAAGTAATTCACAATGGGAAGCTCAGTGATGCCTTTCAAGTGAAGACAGGAGTGAAACAAGGTTGCCTACTATCGCCCATGATATTCCTGATTGCGGTGGACTGGATCATGCAGCAAACAGTAGGCAGCGAGAAGAGGGGGACACGTTGGACGACGGAAAAGAACCTAGAAGACTTGGATTTCGCCGATGACTTATGCCTAATGTCACATAAACTTGAAGATCTGCAGGCAAAAACTAACAAGTTGATAGAAGAGGCAGCGAAGACGGGACTTCAGGTGAATATAGAGAAGACAGAAGTGATGAAGATACCGCACCACCACCATCAACAACAACAACAAACTCCAATCACCGTCAACGGGAGAAACTTGAAGGAAGTAACCTCCTTCACTTATCTAGGAAGCACTGTTTCAACTACAGGCGGGACGGACGAGGACGTCAAAGTCAGAATCGGAAAAGCAAGACAGGTGTTCATTAGTCTGAAACCAGTGTGGAGATCTTCTGCACTCAGCATGTGGAACAAGATACGGATTTTCAACACCAACGTCAAGTCAGTGCTCTTGTATGACTCAGAGACTTGGCGCGTCACGAAAGGGATTTCCAATAAACTACAGACCTTCATCAACAACTGCTTACGCTAGCTGCTGAAGATCAGATGGCCAGAAAAAATAAGCAACAAGGAACTCTGGGAACGAATCAAACAAGAACCTATCACCCAACAAATATGCAGGAAGAAGTGGAGATGGATTGGCCATGCACTGAGAAGGCCGACTGAGGACATCACGCGTCAGGCCAGTTGCTCGAGTGGAATCCCCATGGGAAGCAACGAGTTGGACGTCCGAAGGTGACATGGAGGAGGTCGTGCGAGGAGGAAATGAGAGCTTGTGGGCTGTCGTGGAACCAGGTTCAAAAGATCTCAGAGAACAGAGGTCACTGGAGGCGTGCTACTGAAGCCCTATGTTCCACTAGGAACCCAAGGGACTAATAATAATAATAATAATAATAATAATAATAATAATAATAATAATTCGGTCCAATCAGTGACGGGATAATACATGCAATATCATGAAAACAATACCCGTTGCACAAGAAGTGACTATCATGACTCGGTGACCTAGTGGATAACGCTTTGGAGTTTAAAGTGGTCGGTCCCGGGTTCGGGTCTTGGTGGGAACAATATCGCTCACCGAGAAGTACGTCCGGCTGACGAGTCCCGAATAGGACGAAACGTGTGTCCTGAATTCCACTGTTAGTCACTATCCATCAACAATATCAATTATTTCATTGTTGTGGATTATGATATACTAACAATACATAAGTAGAAGACAGCGTATTGGAGACTGACCCTTCGTAGTTTCCTATATCACGGAAAATGGCTTCTTATGGTAACTAAAAGAGAAACTAGAGTAGTTTTGCATGATCACACAGCTTAAGGGATATCTGCTTGAGACCATTCACACACACTTTTTTAGTTTGTGAGTGAAGGTTGGTCTTACTATCCTCGAATAGGAAAAATACTTACTATGGAGGAGTGTGTTATCGTTACGGATGACTTCACTCAACCGCCTCATATGATAGAGACGGTAGCATTAGCATGGGGCCCTGCCGACGTGCCTCTACCATAGCGCGAGCTATTTATCCTAAGGCGTTAACTGCTTCAGTTTTACCACTATCCAAAAGACGCTTCTGGATCTCATTGAACATTTGTTCTAACCAGTATAGTTCTCGGAGTAATTGTGATATCCAAGTGAAACTATCAGATAAAAGTAGTAGATACCAGTCGGGATGCAGTTTTCGCCAAAAATGCCAAAAGAAATGCTGACACTGCGGACAACCCCTGAGTAAACATTGGAAAATCAATAAGAAACATTTTATGAACTAGATTACAAATAACTGGAATCTAGTGCGTACCGGCTAGGCATAAATCACAAACAAACTACGTACATATTAGTTAAGCAGATAACTTGAATGGCTCTGACTTTACAGCTACCATTTAGGTGGTTCAAAAATCTGCAACACTTTTTGTTCTCCAAATTTTTGTGTATGATACCTCATCATATAATTGCAAAACATTCCTGTTCGATAACATTATCAATGTTAATGACCCATACGTGAACTGCAATTACCAAAGTGAAGCTCTAGTCTTCTAAACATGAATAGAAAAGCCAATTTCTTAAAACAATTATGGTCCTGAGAGTTAACACAGGCAGACAGATAAAACTTTCATCTACAAATCAACAAAAAGATACATTCAACTGTTTAAATTTGAGAAGGGTACAGTGTAAAAGTTAATAAAAGAGTATAATGTACTTAACAGAGCTAGAGAACAGATTCACGTACAGTTATCAAAAACACAATTGGAATGATGCCCTTTCCGACTAAACAATATCTAGGTTACTCTTCATTTTTCCTGTAACTATGCACAGATAAAATCTTCGATATTATTTTCACAAGGATCCATTCAGTGTAGTGTAAGTGGATTCCCCTTCTGAATTGTGATTAGACTTGACGGCTGAGTTCTGCTCTGATTGTTGTTGTAATCTACTCTCCAATTTACTAACTGTCGCTTTAATAGTTAGACGACATAGAATAATCCAGCATATTACCAAAATTTTTGCAGGAAAATAAGATAACAATGTGCAAAGAACAACAATAACATGTCGTATGGAGTCATCAGTTTTCTGAATAAAGTAGATTGTTTCAGGACTTATTGTCGTTACAGGTGAACGTGAAACCAGATAGGCCATAGAAATAGCTTCGATCGTGTGCAAGCCAATATAAATACCGAACTGACGAGCCATCTATCAAAACAAACATTTAAACACAAGAAAACGAAATGAAAACGACTGATAATATACCGACTACTCCGTACAATGATAGTAATCAGTACAAAACGCTCAGAAAAAATACACGGTTTCGAGCTCTAAGGTTTTATAAAGAATAGCTAATGAAGGTTCATTGTCTTTTTATCGCTGTACAAGATAACAATGAATTTAACTTCTGTAAGTATGCACAATATTCTCCTGATGGTCTGTTATTATACAGTAAAAACAGTTTTCCTACTTTTTAACGCGACAGTAATATCACGATAACTTTTTTGTCTTGTGCTTATTCTGCTGAACTTATATTGTATAATCCTATCTGGAGGTTTGTGTAGGTTTATTGATCGATTTTAAGTTGGAATTCTTCATGGGCTGATATCAGTTGGAGGAACATTGGAAACCTAGGAGCACTGGATACTTGTTTCGAGAGCCTTTTTCCAGCCCGGACCTACTTAGACCAACATTGTGTGACGAGGCAATCGGCGACTAGGCATACATACGTAACACGTGTCCCAACCATCTTATTCGATGAGGGCAGAAATGTGAACTACACTCCATTTCGTAACAGCAGTAATTGAGGCGAACAGTTTTTATTTCCACGACTAAAATAGGTAATGCACTCATCATTGTTATCAATTACAAAAAACATCACTACTCAAAACCTGTACTTGCAGACCATCCAGTAGTGAATGCTTTCGAATCGCAGTAGTTTACAGAACTATATTGACTAGTATATGTAATAAAGAACCAAAGTATTTGGTCACAACATAATCCTTAAAGAAATAAACACGTCATTAGGTTGGTAACTACATTAAGTGCCGATGATGATCTGATAGAATGACACGAACTATTCTCTTCAAGTAACTGCTTTTGACATTTCCAAATGATCCCAGGAAAATGTGCAGATGAAAGTCACCTTCTTCACTTCATTATAATTTGTGAATTCTATCAACTAGGAATTCAGCCTGTGAGTTTGACACAACTAATAGTCAAATAAGTGAGTTTATTTAAAGTAAACGACGAGTGTTAAAAACTTAGTAAGTTTAGTTCCAACAAAGAAGAGTGGCGATGGAGGTAGTGAGGATAAATAATAATAGACGGGTGCAGAGGTTGGCTGAGGAAATTGTTATGACATGTGAAACAAACTACTATAAGCAAGTTGACAACTCAACTGAAACAGAAGACTTTGAGGATCCAGCTAGCCTAACCAACATTCATTGTTCTTACTACCGAATCACAGCTTGAATGGTAAATTGAAATAACGCTTCCAACTCTCTTTGAAGCTGAGAAAGCTCTCAGTAACATAACAAAAAGGCGAAAGGTCCTAATGGGCTACCATAAGAGTAATTCAAAAATGCTGATCTTAGTGTATCAATCAGACACCGAAGGTGAGGTCAGTTATGATCTTATTTTAACTAGTACACTAGATGCGGAAACAGACATACAAGCTGACATCCAGAACTAACTGTATATCCTGACCTCAATGTGATATTTAACTTTGTCAGTCTATGAAAGACATATCTGGTAACTAGATCACCTTACTGAAGGCTTTATGCTTGGAACATCTATGGTCATTTGCAAGCCAAAGATGAGGCATCGGATAAGTCATCTACGTTGAATGGTGTTCATCAAAGATATCCACTCTCTCCGTTTCTATTCAGCTTTATCATAAAAGTGTTTATGTTTTTCATCCCTTCTTTGTCCGACTTTACAAGGATTGATTTACTCGGGAAAAACTGCTTTAATGACTGAGTAAGTAGAATTTATAATCCTGTTAAGTGAACATGTTAACAACATGTAATCTTCAGAACACTAAAATGCTCAAGATGCACTTCAAACTTCCCAAATGTAAACTGTTGCTTTAGGGAATGATCTGTATCAACACTCCGTTTAGCAATGGACGGTAAAGTGGTTGAACACACAGACCACTTCAGTTACCTGGAAAGTCATATTAGACCATTTGTGTCAATATAGTTGGTTACAGAAGGTTCAGTTGGCTTTCACCAGCTTACTCCGCAGGTGACGACAATGAAATAAACGAATGTCTACTAAGTGTCAAGTCTACCGCGAAGTAGTGCAACATATGGTTGTAAAAACATGACCGTCAAAAGTGAAGAATTTGAAAAGGCTTTAAGCATGCGACTACAGCTGAATTTTTAACATTGCCTGTATACGGTAGAAGCATCTTGTGAGCAATAAAGAGGTTAAAGAGAGTATTATGTAAAAAAATGTCAAGTCGGACAAAGACATCCAAGAATTTCATAATTGCCCATCTGAATAGAATGCAGAACTATAGGTGTCATGATTAGAATCCTTAAGAGAACTAAAATAACCAGCTGAACACTCTGAATGATATGGCTCAGAATTGATTGTGATTTCGCACATGCGATATTTCTTGCTATTCTTTTTATTGCTTCTTCTCGTTATATGATATCTTGAAACCGCTAATCTCATTTCTCGATCTTTACTCTTGTTAATTTTTACCCTGATGTAAAATGTGTCAAACTGAAACACCATACACAAATACATCAAGTTTCATTTCGATACTGTATATCTCGGAATATACAATAACTGAAATAAAAGTATTAAAACATTAAAACTCACGGATCCAACAAATGTTTCAGGAGCCAAATCCTTCAGTTGACGCTCCAACATTTTTATCCTTCTTTCTAGTTTCGAATAAGTGGCAAACTCATCTACCATATGCACATTTTTCAATTGATTTCGTAAATTTTCTAGATCTGTTACACACTTGGCTCGTAATGCTCGCCTTTTCCGACCGGAAGATGTGGATATGGTTAAAATGAAGTTAAGAATACCATGCAGTCGATTCACAGCACCAAATGTAAAGCATACTTGGAAAAATAATATAACCAGGAATATGATAGTCAAGTGAGTAAGCCAGGAAATATGTGATGAAGATAGGGGTCCTGGCAATGATGAATAAATGGAATCAGGAACATTATACGCGGATTCGACCAACGGAGGATTCGAATTAGTTTCCATAAAATTCTCTGTACACCTGTGAAATAAAAACATTACGTAAGAAACAAGAACTATTGAAGTATCCCATATAGCTTGATGAAAAATCTTAATGAAAATAATTGGATCGAGTAAAATGATTGAATGAATCTATGAGATTACTACACTAAAGTTTAGTAAAAGGATGTCATCTACACACTCGAAGTTGAAGTCTTCAACTTGGTAACAGGTTTAAACCACCACCATCATCGTCGACAGAATCTTACCGTTGGCAAAAATTAAGGGCTGGTTAAGTAGGATAGCCCTGCTTAAACTCAATATTGGTTTGGAACAATGGAGAAAGGCGGTTGTATCTTTACTCGAGGTGTTCTCAAGGGCACTCGTCTCTAACAGGAAAGTCCAGAGTACTGACCTGTTCAACAAATCAAAGACAGCCATAGTATCGAGAAACAAAATCATCGTTGGTCTTTTGTGACAGTGTTCGAATATCTGACCGAGGGTGAACAAGTGACCAATGCACCAACAACCAGAATGAAATTCACATTACTCTTCATAGATTAGTTTTATGCGCATTTTGAAGAGCCTGCGAAAAACGATGGCAATCAACATTTTAGATGTTACTGGTTGTAGACTGACACCCTGGTGATTGTTACATACATTATGTAGATCTTTACTAAAGAGTACAACAGCGACCTAATTCCAGAGTTACAGAACATCTTTATCCTGTTATACTCTCGCAAACAATGCAGTTAGTTCCATTAATCCCGCCCCCATCCTTAAGAAGAGCTGGAGATAAGTTGCATTGGTCGAGTGAACTGTAGTGCTTTAGGAGCTGAAGTTTCTAACGGACACCCGCTTCGTCAGTGAAGTAGATGTTAATCAGTAATGAAGTTCAAGATATTTAGGTATATTTTGCTGAAAATGCAGGCCAACTGAACTACCTTTTGAAGTGCTCCGCTTAGTGTTTCAGATGTTGTGAATCGACGTTTTATCTGTTTAACAAAGCAACTCTCACATCACGTTTCTTGTCAACAGCGCCTCGGATGAGCTGGAATAACTTCCAACTATTACAATATGCGGCTTCTACTTCTATCCCACTAGGGCGTTCTGACGAAGCCTTGCGATCCTCACACAAATGCAACTTGAACTGTCGTGTAAGGATCTAATGTAAACCAATGTACTTGCTGTCAGCCGGAATGTATCAACCAGTGTCAAGAAGTTCCAAGAAGCTGGCATCGAATAGCTGGATTTTGTGCGTACCCACAACCATCGTTATTTGTCAGTTTCCCGGTGAGTAAACGCTCATTATACTTTTTGGAGGTTCGACAGCTAACTTTGAATCTAACTGGGTTCGGTATTTAATTACAATAATAGGTGCAACCAGTTTTCTGTTGTCTAACCGTTCAAAATGATGATTCTGGTAACCAGAACGCACGATGGACTTCGCACACACTGAAGCTTGATCAGAGTCCAAACACGTGCACCAGTGGTGGCAGGTTTGAATACACCCGGAAAATCAGTAACTGGTTGCAATATCTGTTTGAGTTCAGGCTTCAGTGGCAGAAAGAGAACACCAAGTGGCACAACGACGGTGACTGTGTCGAAATTCGGTGCTGGTTAATAAGTCTGAGATCTACGCAAAGCTACAGGAAACATTTCCTATCATCTCACAGGTCACCAATTAATTCCCATTGGCCACTTAAATGGCGCTCCTCTGGGCCTAGATGACCGACTCGCGCATTCAGGCCCCCAGCCAGCAGTAAGATATCTACTGAGGGTACCTAGTAGCGATCACTCAACTCATAGTAGAACTCATCCTTAACTGCATCTCGTCTGTAGTCAGTTGGGGCAGAGATAGGAATGATATAAAGACATAATTTTCTTTCCCAGTTACTCGCCACTCCATTCAAACGTTTTGGACCAACAGTGTAGATGACTTTTGGTGGAGATCCAGTCGACTGGTGCAGTTTCGAATTTTGCACCTGGTGAGACACCAACGCCAGCAGTAAGACCGGTTGTGAATGCCATAGGACCCTTAAATAGGCGCACTATGAATGCATTTTTTGAGCTAACAGACGGAGAAGTTATTCGAAACACTTCATTGGTATCTTGAATGTGGGTCTTTGAGGCACAGGATATATCAATAGCGAAACTTTCCGGAGTCGTAGCTAAACTTATCTGTTGTCTAATCTGTATCAAGGTCTGGATGTTATAGGTGATCAGCCTAGTAGGTACATGCGGTTTCAGAACAGTTGTATATCACACTGTAAGACAGCTTTCTTGAAATATCTGTTTAGCGATGCAGACGGAGCAGAATTTTAGTTATTAACGAGCAGATGAGTGAGATAAAGATACACATGAAGATAAATTTGAATATGATAACGAAGAGACAGTGTAGTTCACATGTAAAATTAAAGACCATATAAAGATAGTAGTTTTAACGAAAGATTTAGTAAGTGCTTTGTTCACTTTAGTGTTACCGCCGACACAGAATTTGTATGTGGGTTGTTATACTGATCAAATAGCCAAACTGAAGAAGGTATCATCTTGAAGGGTAATTCCATGAATCTTTGACTTGAAGTCTGATTCGCACAGCACCACAGCAACATTAAGTGCTGCGTTGCCGTGGTTACCAGCAGGCAATGCAGGTTCATATCCCATTTATCTGTTCTGCATCGTGAAGTCCATATGCAGTACCGCTTTGGAACAAGCATTTTTTATATACGTCTATGTACACCAATGCAAAAATAGCGCCATTTGTTTTCTTTTCCTCTCTAACTTATGTAGAAATACCCCACTACCATCGCGTCAAGGCAATGAGTAGGACGTTTCCCGAGGAGGATATGAACACATGGTCTTATGACAGCATTTTGAGAGGGTGGATAGGATTATCCCACTTCCGACCATTTCAAGGTAATTGACTCCGTTCTACTATGTGACTTGGAAACATAACCATTAAAAATGGGGACGAGTAGGTCATGTGACCACCATATGAGTAATGTAGAAGTTAGACATAATCTTAGGTTACAGCGAAGTCAGTTAGTGAAGCGATACACTCATATTGACTCGACTTAGGTGACTGGGAAATCTGTTAAGCATTTCTATTTAGTATCTACTTCGGTGCACTATATTAGCTAAACCAGGATTCGATTGGAAACATGTAAAAAGGTACCCAGACTGTAATGTAGCAACAATCCAGGAAGCGTCCGACTGTTTATTTGAGTTGTGTAGGGATATTTCGACTTTTAGTTTGGAGTCTGTGTTACAACCGAAATCACTGGTAAGAAACTCTATGTGATATCGTTCACTATTGATCTTAGCAGACCAGATGTATACCTACATTATCGTCATCTTATAATCTTTATATCACATTTCGTTATTTATCTTACCGCCTCCTATTATGACATTTTATGATTTTTGATTCCATTTTTCGCCTATACTTTTATATCTTGCATTTTGCAGCCTTGTATCTTGGTGTTGATACTAGGTGTGGCAACTAGGACGACCATGCAGTATTGCTAGGTCCCATGTCCATAGAACCTGACTAGTTGAGTGCTCAGTGGACGGAATTCATCTAGACATTACGTCATGCGATGAAAAATAGCACACAAGAAGTAGTTTAGTACCTCTGATTCCAAAGATTGAGAAGTGAGTTGTGTTTGAGCAATAGCTGTCAAGCAGCGACGTACTTCAACCAATCGTGATTCCAATTTAGTTGTGATACGTGCAAGCTTAGCACCTTCAGTTCTGTAGGCTTCCAAAAGTTTGTGAACAGTAGCTCGTTGAATCTCTGCACTAGCTTCTTCTTCAGGCAGAGCTCCAATCAATGCATCCAACTGTTTCGCAGTTGCAGAAATAGCTACTGCGAAACTACGAGCAATATCTACAACCAACAAAATTGCAAAAATAAACAATTAAAATTCAATTTTATTCCTGAAAAGATCTAACGATGAGTTGTAATTATTTTAAAAATTCTAGTGACTATGTCACTTAAATATGCAATTCAGGCGAAAACGATAATCTTGTTTTACGTGAATAATGAAATTTTAACCCTCACCGTATATAACTCAGTTCACAAATATGATATGCAACACACTAAAAAGTACATTTTGAAATGGCTCTTCTGTCAACATGAAACAAGACGACAAAAACGTCCAATAATAATTGGTACGTCATTTCTGCTGGGAAGTAGTTAAAGAACGGCTGTAAAGATGACTTCTAGTCGTCTATGAGATATCTTTTGACTCTTTTCTCTATTATGACGCAAAATAATTGTGCTACGCAGCACAAAAGTTATACACTAATCCAAGGGTACAGAAGTAAGTCAATTCTGTGGCAACTATGCAGATAAACGGTTAATAGCCAGGGAACAGCAAGTTAAAATGTACAAACTATTTTTCAAGGTCTCTCAATCCATAGAAGAAAGATGGTTGACTAAGACGGTCTACATACACTAACAAAGACGACAGACCTCATTAATGTTGAATACCTATCTTGGTAAATGTCATAAATCTTGGTCAGATTAGAGCGCAAAAAGTGGATCATTAATTCACATAGCTAACCTTACATTTACACAAAAAAATACATTCCAAATGATGAGTCTAAAACAAACAACTAATGATAAAGTGACAAGTCATTTTGCCGTGTAATGCGTTAATCATATAACAGCATTTTCCCATGAAAAAGTTTTGTAAGTTGTGTACCTTTTATATATATCATAGGAACAGGCCACTGTATTACGATAAAGTGCGAGCTTACATTTCTTGCTAGAGTTTTAAGATTATCGACTCTAGTTTGAGGTAAGTTATTATTATTATTATTAAAATACATAACGCCTAATCGAACCAACTGAAGCAAACAATATGAGATTGGTGAGCTGAGAATGGAAAACTACAGAAAGTGCAAAACACAAGGAATTAAAGCTGAACATAACAACCAACAACTGAGAAAACTCACTGTCAAAAAAGTATGTCAACAAGAAGTTGCTAACACTATGAACAGTCACGATTTTTCCAGGAAAATAAGTTAAAATCGCTATAGACTGGTAATAAAAATGATTTTACCATGTGACGAGAAAGTCCTATTGAAATAGGCGGCATAATTTGGTTTATTATTATACATATTCATGTATTCTTGAACGAAAACCTTCAGATAGCACCTCTGATAGACATTCAATTCATCCAAGACCGAATAAGCACTGAAACGATAGGTTATCAAAACCGCTATATACAAAACACACCGATGCACGTGTACATACAATGTCATCGTCTACTTCGAAGTTAATTCTAGAAGAAAGTTTGCTATCGGTTTCATATTAAACCAATCTGATAACATATGATAATGTAATTCTCAAGAAGAACTTTCGCAAACAACAAGTTATTGAAGAATCTAGCTTGCTGCACAATGGAAAAAAAAAGTTAAACACAGCTTATTTCTTAAAACCTGGTGAATTCAAAAGCCACAAATACCTACAAACCTAGAAATCACATCCAAACAAACCACACAAAAATGCATAGTTTTTAAAAACTTCGGCAACAAGTTAGTATGATTATTTCGTTTGAAATATTGTACAGGGAATGAGTTTGTTGAAATTTAAAACGCTGAGAATTCCGCACCGCATCATATATGTTTTCTGGAATAAAACGATTTTGATCATAAATTATTATTACAAACACGGTCGAAGTTGCAGGCAGCAACTGAAGAATCCCTATGATCTGGAAAAACTTGACAAAAACTCTGTCATCACGGCCCATGTCGTTTATTCAATGTCATAAAATATCACTCGAAAAAAGACAAAATTCTTGAAAAGGGTTTCATTTCTCACAAAGAGTGAGCCATTATAGAACTTTTGCATATTCATTCATACGCTTCTGTGGTCAACAGAAAAGATGGGTTAGACATCCTGCAAGTATGGTGAACATTAATGACTCGCATAGACAAGTCAAATAATATTCAAGGCAAAGGTAGAACAGAACTTCATTTCACACTGTTCCACATGATTTATTCCGAGTGTATTCGTCTTTGAATAGTTTTCGGTGTTATTTCGTTTAATCGTCTTAACCTCTTCAAAAGATATTGGTCTTATTTTAACACCTCGTCTAATTCTATTGCATAGTACTTTGTTGATTTACTATTTTCACTAGTTCTACGCCCAATTGTGAGTTATACACGTTATATGAACCACTTTGCATATTATGTAATCTATATTGTTATAATTCATACTTCAACAGTTATCATAAGTACCTTTAGCATTACCACTAATTATGATACACTGTTTAATTTTCAAATATTCATCCATCCAAAATAGCAATCTATCCCCGACCCCTTCTTAATGACTACTTACAACTTCATTGTCCATTTCACAGACAAACCAAATTTCTCCACCCTATTTTTGTTCTACCTTACCTGCACAACTGGAAAAAGCCTGTTTGACCCTTTTGCTAATTCACTCATCTATATTACCTTTATCTTTGTTCTATATCACGATATAATTGGGTGGTCATTAGGGTTACCTTCTGTATCAAACTTGAATATTAACCTGCAACTTAATGTCAGATTCATGTAGTTGAAAAGGATCATCCTAGCAGAATCGAGATGTTGAGGAATAATACGAAATATTTGTTTCTCTTTTTATTTGTTCTAATATATCTCGCTGGTGTAAGGCAAGTGAAACACACGTTATAAGCTTAGAACTTCGCTTACCTTCAAGGCCGAAAAGATTTTGAAATATGAAAGAATGAACTGCTGAATGACAAAAGCAAAACTGTCAAGTTCTGAAAGACCTTTAACCATATTCGCAGGTCAACAAATCGAAATAGCTGATACGGACTGCTGACTTAAGGAACAAATCAAAGATGAGTCACAAAATAAACAAACTGAATGGTGGCTAAGACATAATTCTCACACTTTCTGTCTTTCATTAATTGGTGATACGAAACACAACAGTGAACTTCGGTTACAAAGTGTAGATTCATAAGTAATGCTGTAAGTCACAACTAACTGAAGGTTTGGTAATGTTATATACACATCAAAATGAAATTAAGAGGAACAGTGATAGTAGGACTGAAAACCGGATTGATAATATTATAATATCATAGCTCTTCACTCATTTTATCTCGTGAACGTCACTAATTTATGTAGTCTGTTTACCTTGCTTTAATTATTGTGTGCCGCTGAAAAGTGTCGCAACTTGAACTAATGCACTTTCGACAGCGCCTCTACGCTCTTTCTTTGCTTTCTTATGGCTTTGCAAACACCAGTTTCTACATCATACATTCCATTTTTCCTTTTTTTAGTTTTCTCTTATGACACTCTGAGAAATTGCAGTAGGTAACGAATGGACTATTGTGTTGTCCTACACAGTTTAAGTCAGTATAGTCACTGAACAGGAATATAAATTGTGTTCGTTAACACGGTTTTGACAAATGAAGTGAGATTTCTCACTGTACAATCAAGATACTTGTGGATGTTGAGGTCATTTTTAGTCAGTATGAAATACTTCAGTTGCTGTAATGCATAAGTAATAATGTAGACAACTCAGTTATACAATTACCGTCACTTGGTTGAGCTTGAAGAAATGCCTGATATTCTGGTTTAGCAGATCTTGAAGCCCAATTGAAGTCAGCGAAAAAGCTAGGCTGAGCAACTTGTTGTATTACACCGATTGCGTTACACAGATTTTCTGCCTGTAAATTGATTGCGTCTTGTAATTCAGTTAATCTATCTGCCATCCAAATTGGGAGCTTAGTAATCAAAAACAATAAATGAAAAATAAATAAATAAATGGAGAATATATGCTAGACAAAGAATATAAGTTTCTTTATAACTGTTTAAACACAAAGAATGTTCAGCAACTAGTTAGATATGAAGCGGAGTAAAATAATTAAGTTTGAGATAAATATGCAACCACATCTACAAAAAAACATTCATATGCACATGTGTGTATTATACGATATACGACATGGCCATTGAAGGTGGAAGACAAAAGGTGTTTGACCACCGTTCCCTTCGTAGTATAGGCCGTATTCCGTGGTGTCACCACGTAACGCAGAAGTTAGGAGTAGAGTTTTAGAGAGGAGAGATAAATCAGTTGACACGGTTGTGAACCTTCATCGACTAAGATGGTTGGGACATATGTTACGTATGCCTGGTCGCCAATCGCCTCGTCACACAATGTTGGCCGAAGTAAATTCAGGCTGGAAAAAAGCTCGAGGCGGCCAGATTAAAACATGGAATCAATGTATGAAGTCTTTGAGTGTTAGTTTGAATTATGTGGGGCGATGCAGACTAACCGGTTGGGGTCTGCGAGACAAGAGGAACCAGTGGTTGGAGACTCTAGGGGATATGGCTCAGAACCGATGTCAGTGGCGTAGATGTATACACACATTATCCATCTTAACGACGCTGTACCGAATCTCATCATTTTCTCATTCTTCCTGTTCTTTTCTTTTAGTACTTGATATTTCTTTTGACTGAGTTTTCTTTTCTTCATCTTCCACTTCACTGCCTTTCTACCTGACGTACTGATATGCAGTAACGCCTGGTTCTATGTTGGTGATGATGATACAATGAGGGATATCTGCTGTGAGAGGCCTTTAATACTACTTGGATGTTCAAACTTCAATCTGCCGACAAAGATTCCAAGCCATGTCCCACTGGATGAAAGCTGAGTACCCAATCCAGTGAGCCAGAAAAAATCAATACACAGGACAAATGAACACAAACGATTGTCTGAACGAAAGAAATTGTGTATCGAAGTATTTTATGAACCACAAATACCAGCGCATAAGGCTGTATCCACTATTGTAAAATTGACAAGCAACTATTCATACAATTTTTAGTTTAAAATAAACGAGATACAACAATATTAACGAACCACGTGACACGATTCTGACAAGTAAGCGAACAGAAGAAATTATCAGATCGGTCTTCTGACAAGTTAATTGTAAGAAGTCTACCCACTTCAAGGAGAACAACAAGCATATGGAAAAATACAAAACAGTACAATCCAATCAAATGAATACTTAACTTATTGGAATTCAGAATTCAAGAGTTACTCCGGGGGAACAACTGTAAAACTTTATTCTAACATATTAGGTCTGAGACCAAGACAAGGTAACATACCACATAAAATATTTTTTAAAATGTATATACAAAGCTGAGAGGACAATAACAGTTAAGAGGATGATCAGAAAGACACAGGTACCTGGGATAGATGCGAAAAGCTGAGATCAAATTCGTACGGTTTTTCAAAAGAGAGATAAATTATACATAAAACAAATGAAACTTAATTCGGCAAAGTAATTACTACTTCATGAGCAACCCTTCATGTGTGAAGGCCTGTGATATTACCCGGTTGTCCAAACCAAGGCAGTCGAAGTGGGATTTTAACCAAGGAAGCACTGTTTGGAAGTTCGGTGCTTACACTAGCAAAACAAACCTCAACAGACAACAAATTTAGGGTCTTCTCAGCATATTAAGAGGAAATGAATGTTTGGAATACATTTTGCATACGCCAAATGTAAGATTGTGGTTTAGGGTTTGTCAGCAACTGCCGAGTCTGACAAAAATGAAGTGAAGTGGTGAGATGCATCGATCACCTCGCTTAGTTGGAGAGTAATACCAACTCCAATGGGTTGATTGCTATCAAAATCTACGCTCGAATACAAGAAACTCGTTCGACACTTGCTAACTTAGATATTCAACCATACACCAAAGGATGAATATATATATATATATATATATATATATATATATATATATATATATATATATATATATATATATTGCACTGTGGCACACTCCGTCCTATTGTGCGGCTCAGACCTGATCGTTGAGTAATTATTTGAAGAGTACAGATATTGGGTTACAAGTGTCTTCGTAACAATGTTTTTGTGTGGTGAGATCGCCGTGTGAACAATGGCAAAGTTAGGTGGAGGGTAATGGTTGAGATTTTGATTCTTTACCGACTAAGATAGCTTGGATGTGTAATTTTAATCGGGGTAGAACTAGTTTGGAAGAAAAATAAGGGTGAGAGGATCAAGAAGTGATACCAATTTCTTCAACCTGACCATTGGTTTGAGCTGTTTATGATGCCTGGTTAAACTCCTCGACATGACACAAACCGATGGGTGAAGATTTGGTAATAAGCTTCAAAATCGACCCCGATTATGCAAATGTGAAGTTTCTTTATCATCTTTGAAGTCTTAGACATGTTAGAAAGGTTTAGTGATTTACTCTCTCTTCCTATATATCTCCTTTCGTCATTCTAATGTTATTCTTCCACACACTTCCTTTTTTAGTTTTCTTATCAATGCACTTTTGTGTCAGGTTGTCTGATTTTAGTAAACAGAAGGGCATCAGTATGCGGAAACAAATAAAATGGTCGTGCATTAGCATTGCTCAGACGCTATGATGAAGGTGTTCCACACTATTTTTTTAGCTTACTGTTTAGCAGCTTATTAGATGAATTAAAATTAGGTTTTCTCAGCTGAATTTTCCTTAATAATCTTAAAACCAATCTGGTATGGCTAGCCAAACGTACCAGTTGGTAATGATGACGTTTTGTTACTCCAGCCAACCTGTGGGATTTAAGTGTTTCTGTCAGAGAAGCACTGCATGCTTTCACATTTCGATGCACAGAGACAGAGACAATTAACATAAGACCTGACATTACTGTGTAACGGTTCAAGTTTCCATGCCAGTATGTTAAGTGACAATGCATCATTTTGAACGATCAAGAAATAGGGAAAAAAGTAGTCAAAATGCAAAGAAGTCATCAAAAGAGGGTAAGGAAGAATGGGAGAATCCCGAGATTCATTTTGACGGTTAAGATGAGGATAATGTGTAGATACATCTGGGTTCTATTCTGAGACACAGTACTAAGACTCTTCAACCACTGGTTTCTATTGTCACGTGAACCTTAACCGGAAAGTCTACATCTCCCCACACGGTTCGGACCGATGGTCAGACTTCATACAGTGATGCTACATTTTAGTCTAACCGCCCGTAAACTTTCCCCAAACAAAAACCTACTTTAGTTAACAATATGGAACGAGGCAGATGGTTACTAAGCATTCACAAAACATGTTCCAACTATCTCAGTCGACAAAGATTTACATCACTAACTAACTTTCTTCTTTTCCAAAAAACCATACATCTGACCTCGATGTTACTCACGTGGTAACACCATGACATACGGTGTGCTACGAATGTAACGGTAGTCAAACACCTGAATCTCTCTCAATAACCTCTACCTTTAGTGGCCATGTTTTACAGCCATAGAGTGGGACAGAGCGAACTGAACCGCAGTAAACTCGACTCTTAATAAACAGTCGGATATCATACTGGCGTCATAAATGGCGTAAGTTGACGAAAGCCAAGTGAGCCTTTTGTATCAGTGCAGAGATTTCGTTGGTTACTTCCCCACTAGGGCTGGTCCGACTTCCCAGGTACGTGAGGTGGTCAACACAATGGACTATTTCACTTCCTAATATTAGACAAAGTACAAACGAACACCAAATCTGAAGCAATAATCTACATTTAGATGGCGAGAAATGCATCCCAAATGTTTTCAAACTGCCACTGAAGGTGTTCAGTATCTTATCAGCATCTTATCAGTATCTTCACCCAATAAGGCCGTCATCTATGTACTCTAGGTCGACCAAGGATACTCCTGTGACAAGATCAATCTCCGAAAAGTCAGACAACAAGAAAAAGACCTCAATAAGAACGTCTATGATAAGGTTGAGTAAGAACGGAGAAAGTAGGCATGCTTGACGGACACCACTCGACATAGTCAAATTACCTGATGAATCATCACAGACTCTACCACGCCGTGTTCGAGCACACAGCCTTCAACGGTGATAATTACACCGCACCGCTTTTAGTGAGAGATAGTGCCCTAAGACATCTCAGTCGATGGAGTTGAATGGTGCCATCAGACCGAGAAATACAGCTAGTGTCCGTAAGTGCATCTGTTCTACAACCTGGCGGAAGGACAACATTTAGTCGATACACCAACGGCCAGGTCTGAAAAACGCCCGGCCTTTTTGAGTTTCCCGTTTCTGAGCCCCATTCCGGTGCCCGATGATCAACGAGTCTAGCATGTAATACACTATTTTCGTCAGGTTAGTACAAAGGAATTTCTTGCCTTTCTTGAAGACTGGGGACTATCAGCGAGTGAGATCAATTAGAGGGGATCATATCTCACCCCCACACTAGCTAAAAATTCAGCTAGCCTAATCAGTAATTATCGACCAGTCTTTAAATACCGAAGGTACTAGTCCGTCTGACCACGCACGCCTTCCTTGCTTTAAACAACTTATAGGTCTTTCGGCTTCTGTAAGTGTTGCTGTTCCTATCTCAGTGTTCTGTTTTGGATCCAACTGGATAGCGGGCAACGTGATATTAGCTGGAGGCCAGTTGAACTGCTCCTTCAAATGTTCCCACACATCGTTCCAGTCGTCTCCCCTCCGAGCGAATCAGATTCCTCTTTCTCTATCGTCTCATTAACCACTGGCCTTTGCGCTCTAGTTTCCTCAATGATTCCAAATAACTGTCTACTAATACTTGTTGCCGCTGCCTCTTCCATCCTTTTAACCTTTGTTAGCCACCACTGTTTATGGTTACTGAGTAGACCTAATATCAGTTTACGTTCGAGTTGCATTCGCTTTTCATTATCCGCGTAGTTTGTAGGGATGCGTTCGCGTGCATACTGCTGCTGAAATCTACTGGCCCTTTCTAACCATTCTCTGAGAGTTCGCCACAGTTTTCTGTGCCGTTACTACAGCAAACTGGAGATGGCACCATGCCTCTTCTGGATGAGTGATATTGTTCTGCAACGATTACTGTCTAGTCAGTTCCTTGATGAAAGCAGCTCTAGTATCCTCATCACCCAGCAGCATTCGTAATGGCCCTGTTGCTGTAGTTTTCCAGCGTCCATTCAGGCGCAGATATATGTGCGCTTGAGTCAACGCGTGCTAGCTATCCAAACATGTGCTTCAGAAGGATCGACAGTCTTCCACCGACCCTCTTCAGCGATAACTGGTAGCAATTTGTGTCCACCGCTGAGTTGAAGTCGGCGGATGCCATGTCAAAAATGTCTCCTCTCACATTTGAGGTTTGTTCTGGCTAGAAATAAACGGTTATCTAAGGTTGTAGTAGACGATCGCCGTCATTTATTCGTTCGGCTGATTCCGAAAATACCTTTTTGCACAGATCAGCCTACCCACTTGTGCATTGAAATCACCTACAACAACTACCATGTCTCAGCGCTTGGCTTTCAGTAGGAGGTTTGACAGTTTTCGATAGAATTCAGCCTTTACTTCACCCAAACTGCAGTCAGTGAGTGCATAAGTACAGATTACAAAAAGAAAACGGAGAGTTCCCCTATTCTTCAGTCCCCACTTTGTCTTTCAGTCAAAGATCGCATACATGACTGTCAAATAGGATCTAGTCGAGCAATGTGCTTTTCCCCTAAGACTCAATGCTAAACGCCTGCAAAACCAAGAGAACTAGCCATCGTGTCCCAGAAACTCGAAGGTTGAACTTTCCAGATACATCATACTGACCGGGTAGCGGTAAGTGAATAACCGCACTTGGATCCTGTATGTATCTGACAAACACAGCACACACTCATGGCCCGAAATGCTACAGCTTTCGCTTGCAAAGCTCGTTGGTCGATTTGACGGAGGATATGGACATTGAAAGCTGCAGTTTGTAGTCTGGGGCGCAGTTTCAGGAGACCAATGATACTGTTCTGTGAACTCAGTTGTGAAGAGCCACAGAGCTGGGATAAATTATGTATCATATAGGACTACTGAACAAGCGAAGTGAAGGAAGATGGTAAGTTGAGTATGTAGAAGGTTGATAATGATCTGAAGGCACTTGAGTGATGAGAGTTGTGAGGGTGGTTGACACTTTCCGGTTGTCTGCACTGTAGAACGCTAGTTTTCCTTCAGATGCATGGAAAAGAAGGGTCAGTATGTGATGACAGAACCAAAGGGACATCTACTTGAAACCGGTCACACAGGGTCTTTTTCGAAGTTTGACTTCAGTTTGTTACTTTTCACTCCGACTATGAACCCATATTGACGGCACCAATATGCTGTGGGACAAAGGGGACTGCGTTATTTTTAGGATCGACCTCAACTAAACCCTCTTCCAATACGGAAGACAGCATCGGCGTGGCACCGCTGGTCATCATCCAAGGCAAACACCTTGCTACTGTCACGCCCATCCAGTCATTATAGAATGGCAATTTACACCATAATGGTGGCTGCTTTTTGTTGCATTATTACCCAACTGTCATTTCTTGTAAGATGGAACCTCAAGGAAACAAGCGTTTCATCGGAATAACTCATCCTGCCATTTTAATATACAAAACTGACCACAACATCAAGGTAGCAGCTTTCGGTCGGACAGTATCAATCTCTTAAAAAGTTTAGCTAGCCAAGTAATGCAAATCAACCACCGCGTATATATTCACACACTAGACCATGACAGACGAATTAAAGTTAAACCCTGTACACAAATGCTTTAGTTTTCTTTGTGATACTTTACAAGAACGCACAGAGGTAGAAGAATAACACTACAGTGACGAGAAGAAGATAAGGGAAAGAAGGGTAAATCAATAAGACTTAGATGACAAGAAAGGAATGCATCTACACCACTGTGACCGAGCATGAGCTATTCAACCAAGCATCTTAGATCACTTATTCCTAACAACTTGAGGACTCCAGTCGGACAAACTGCAATACCGTAAACGGTCAAGGCTTGTTTAAGAGGTCACCTCAGATTAAAATCCGGACCGTTCCCTTCCTAAAAATCTGGCAATAGCCTCTTCGTCGAACACGATAATGTCAACGCTTGCCAAATTCAATTCTACATTTCTAATGGATCAAACAATGAGTGGTGACTTCTAAATGTCTCCCAAAAGCTAGCGTTACACTTTCTCCTAGATCACAAGTACCATCGACTGAGGCTTAAAAAGTTATTTTGACCTATCTTCCCCCTTTCTTTGGGCTTTTCGCGATCTATTAAAAAACTGGGATGCCACCGAAGGTAAGATCTTTCGCCAGTACAATAGATGAGGAATATACACTTCACTATTTCGAACTGCCAGAAACAGTGTCGTGGAGTCTTTCTAGTTAATTTTGAACTCAAATATGAATGAGAAAGTGTCCCAGTCAACATTTTTGTCGGGCCAAATAGGGCAATGTTGGGCTACTCACTATGGATGTGTGGCCCACGTACTGATTGCTGCTCCTACAACCAGCCCTTGTGGGCCTACATTTGGCCCGAACAAAACAGAGGCCTAACGCTTGGCCTACTGTAAACTGCATCTGGCTCCATATCAGAATTATGGTTCAACGAAGTTGTTGACTAGGTGGGTTTACACTATAAGTGATCACTTGTAGTGTACACCGACCCATTCTAATTAGAATGTGATCCATGCGTAATTTACGTTGTATTGAATATTCACACTTACTACATAGGATGATAATGAGTAAGAAGTAGGAACACACCGTCTTCCGGACAACGACAAGTGAGGGTTACTATTACTAATGTAACGTGCGCTAATATCCAATGTCCAATATCTAATAATGGTAGTGCGAGTGTAGAAAACTGATAGTTTTTGATCTCTCGCGTTTAGTTCTTGGGGCTTGGTTCGAGTTGTTTGGTTCACTCCTACAGTGAAAGGGGAAGTATCCTCCCCTTTCTTGCTTTTAACCCCGGTGAGATGGATGTTTTATGGGTTAGTAAGTTGTAATTTGTGGAGTGATTGGGGAGCTACGGGTGGCTGGGAAGGCTAGGGGACTGTCGTGACTCCTGTCCATGTTAGCACCTGAAAAAGACTGATGGTATAGTGGTAAAGAATAAGGGGGAAAAAAGAAAATAAGGGAAGCTAAAAAGGAAAAGAAAGGAAGAAAAAGTAGGGGTATAAAAGGGAAATAAAAGACAGGGAAAAGTGTGTAGGAATTGCCAGAGTGGTAGAAGTAGATAGTGTAGGCCTATTTCCTTGAAAAGAATTAGCAAGCAATGTGGGTGTATTGAGGAGCGAGATAATGAGTGGTAGATAGGAGGGAGGTGGGTGTGGGCTAGTGAAGTTGGTGTCTCCGTGAGTACGCCCCTGGCAGACCATGCGAGGTAACAAAACTGCCTAGCCGTCTCTTGAATGAGCTGACTGAGGGAGCTATGACAGTGTGTCGCGGTGAGGCGTTTCATAAGGCGCATACTGTCAGGGAGAAAATGTGTTCATTCCAATGCGCGACATCAGTTTTCAGTAATAGGGATTATTATATCATTATTATTATTAGTCCCTTGGGTTCCTAGTGGAACATAGGGCTTCAGTAGCACGTCTCCAGTGACCTCTGTTCTCTGAGATCTTTTGAACCTGGTCCCACGACAGCCCAGAAGCTCTCATTTCCTCCTCGCACGACCTCCTCCATGTCACCCTCGGACGTCCAACTCGTCGCTTCCCATGGGGATTCCACTCGAGCAACTGGCCTGACGCGTGATGTCCTCAGTCGGCCTTCTCAGTGCATGGCCAATCCATCTCCACTTCTTCCTGCATATTTGTTGGGTGATAGGTTCTTGGTTGATTCGTTCCCAGGGCTCCTTGTTGCTTATTCTTTCTGGCCATCTGATCTTCAGTAGCGAGCGTAAGCAGTTGTTGATGAATGTCTGTAGTTTATTGGAAATACCTTTCGTGACGCGCCAAGTCTCTGAACCATACAAGAGCACTGACCTGACTGGGTTGGTGTTGAAAATCCGTATCTTGTTCCACATGCTGAGTGCAGAAGATCTCCACACTGGTTTCAGGCTAATGAATGCCTGTCTTGCTTTTCCGATTCTGACTTTGACGTCCTCGTCCGTCCCGCCTGTAGTTGAAACAGTGCTTCCTAGATAAGTGAAGGAGGTTACTTCCTTCAAGTTTCTCCCGTTGACGGTGATTGGAGTTTGTTGTTGTTGTTGATGGTGGTGGTGCGGTATCTTCATCACTTCTGTCTTCTCTATATTCACCTGAAGTCCCGTCTTCGCTGCCTCTTCTATCAACTTGTTAGTTTTTGCCTGCAGATCTTCAAGTTTATGTGACATTAGGCATAAGTCATCGGCGAAATCCAAGTCTTCTAGGTTCTTTTCCGTCGTCCAACGTGTCCCCCTCTTCTCGCTGCCTACTGTTTGCTGCATGATCCAGTCCACCGCAATCAGGAATATCATGGGCGATAGTAGGCAACCTTGTTTCACTCCTGTCTTCACTTCAAAGGCATCACTGAGCTTCCCATTGTGAATTACTTGGCATGTGGCATCTTCATATAGTTGTTGAATGAGGCGGATAAAGGTTTGCGGTACTCCGTAGTATTGAAGCAGTTTCCAAATTACTTCTCGATCGACGCTGTCGAAGGCCTTCTCAAAGTCGATGAAGTTGAGGTAGAGAGCTGATTGCCATTCTATGCTCTGTTCTATGATGATACGAAGCGTTGCAATTTGGTCTGCACATGATTTGTACTTCCTGAAGCCTGCCTGTTCCGGTCGCAGTTTTGAATCCAGTGCGTCTTTAAGCCTCTCCAGGATGATGCGGCTTAATATTTTACTTGGGTGGACAGGAGAGTGATTCCGCGCCAGTTCTTGCAAGCACTCAGGTCTCCCTTCTTCTGCAGTTTGACAAGGTAACCCTTCTTCCAATCGTCAGGTACCTTCTCTTCCTTCCACACCTTCTGCAATAGTGGTGTGAGCATGTCCGCTGTTGTCTCTGCATCTGTTCTCAGTGCTTCTGGCGGTATTCCATCTGGTCCTGCTGCTTTCCCACATTTCAGTAGCTTTATGGCGTTCAGGACTTCCCTTTTGGTTGGGGGATTAATGTTCACTTGTAATTCAGCGGCTGCGGTGCAGGTGGTATTTCTGGACGAAGTGCAGGTGGTGGTGGTGGTCGATTCAAGAGCTTCTTGAAGTGGTCGGCCCATCGTTTCCTCTGTTTCTCTTCTTTTGTAATTAAATTTCCTTCTTCATCTTTTATTGGTTTCATCTGTGTTGGTCTCTTCCCTGATAGCAACCTGGTTATTTGATACAATGTCGTCAGGTCTCTCTTACCTGCAGCCTGTTCTGCTTCACTTGCCAGTGTTTCGTAGAAGTGTCTTTTGTCTTTCCGTGCACTCTTCTTCACTTCTTTGTCCAGTGTTTTATACATTGTGCTCAGTTCCTCTTGTCGTTGAGCATCCTTGCACTGGTTTATCTTCTGCTTCACCATCCTCCTCTCCTCTATCAGCTCCCAGGTATCCGTCGAGATCCATTCCTTATCTTCTTTCTTCTTCCGTCCTAATACTGTTGTGCAGGTTTCTTTCCACATAGCTTTCAAAGACTTCCAGTGTTCTTCCACACAGGTTTCTTCAGGGATGTTGCTCGATGTCTCCCATTTTGTCTTGATGGCTGCCTTGAAGATTTCCTTTGTAGTTTCATCCTTCAGTTTCCGAGTGTTGTACTTGAATTGAGGTCTATCACCAACTTCCTTGAAGGCTTTTAACTTGATTTGGAAGGTTCCTTGCACTAGATAGTGGTCTGAGCCTACATCTGCTCCTCTTCTTGACCTTGTGTTAAGTAGACTGCGTCTCCATTTTCTTGAGATTGAGATAAAGTCGATTTGATTTTTAGTGTGTCCATCTGGTGAAATCTATGTCGCTTTGTGGATATCTTTGTGCCTGAACACACTGCCTGACCCAATCACCAAATCGTTGAATGCGCAGAATTCTGTAAACAATTCTCCATTCTCATTCATTTCACCTAGCGCCTCTCGACCCATGGTTAGTTCTCTTCCCGTGTTGTCCCCTCCCAGTTTGGCATTCATGTCGCCCATTAGAATTTTGATATCGCCAACTGACGTCTTGTCCAGTGTTGATTGAAGTTGTCTGTAGAAATCCTCCTTTTTCTCTTGCTCTGCATTATTTGTAGGTGCATAGCATTGTATGATTGTGACCTTTCTTCCTTTCGAGTTGAATCTTGCTGTCATGATCCTGGAGGAGATTGGGTCCCACTGCATGAGGGCCTTCGATGCTCTTGGGGACATCATGATAGCCACTCCATAACTCAGTGTGCTCGTGGTTGTCGTCTGGGTGACAATATGGAGTAGATTATTGATTCTCCAGTTGACAGTTTGGAGAGTCCACTCCCATTCCATCTGCTTTCGCAAATTCCAAGCACTTCAATGTGATACCTTCTCATCTCATTTGCAATCTGGGCTGCCTTACTGGGTTCAAACATCGTACGGACATTCCATGCCCCCACGTTTACTTTCGGTTTCATCGAGAGAAGACACATCGGCCAATTGGCTTCCCGAAGGCAGGCTTTCACTAACTGGCGTCATTTCGCCTCTCCGATTCCAGCGGGGAATAAGTTTGTTTTCATTTTTTATATTTTGTTTGTGCTTTCAAGTTTCTTTAGCGGTTAGATTTGTTTTACGGGGTAGGGTTGCTAGCCCTATGCCCAACCTTCCCTCCTTGTTGGGGCTTAGGACCGGCTAGTAACTAGTAAACTAGTTGACCAGGAGAGGTTAGTAATAGGGATAGAATGGCAATTTTACCTGTGTTATTCCTTACTCTGGTATCACCTTCTGAGATCCAGTTTATCTTTAAACGCTTCGACAGAGCAAGCTGTTGCCATTTGTTTGGGTGAGTGGTTAAAGTTATTAACTACTCTGTGTGAAGCTTAGGCTCATGCTAAATTAGTTAGACAGTGACTTTTGAGTTCTGTCGTATATTTGTCCCGGTGCGAACTTCACGGACTCAAAGAGCAATCACTAATTATTCGGACTTGTTATGTATCCACGAATACGAGACCAAGGAAGAACACGATAGCGTAGTCGGATGGAATAGTATATTTGGGTGGTTGTGCCAAAATACCGATGCGTTCCAACTAACTGGCTTGAGTCGAATACGGGCAGTGCAACGTGACACGACGGCGTGCCAAATGGCGAGGATGCTTGACCGGATGCCTTCAGCTTAGCGAGTCCAGTTGAACCATCAAGGTCAGTATCATTGCGTGTGTCAATGAGTGTCGTCAAGCCCAAGGCTATTGATTTTAGGGAAGAGTGTGAAGCTACAGTATGAACCTCGAGTATAGTGGATCCTTAAACGAAGAAATGTGTGGGATACATCAGTTTGAAGGTCGCCGTTAATGTGATGGAATGTTTTTTAGTTCTTTCATTCTCCGGCTATAAGACTGTGGAAGAAGATCTGGTCTACAGCATCGCATACTTCCCCAAAATCAATGGCCCAGTGTTAGATGAGATTCAACATTAATGCTGACCATCAAGTATCCGATATCTTTCTACGAGCTAGTGTGAACCAACTAATTTATTCGCTGTCGCTACTAGGTCTTACGGAAGGGTTCCAGGTCTTCAGTAGATTCGGATGCAGTAGGTCTACCCAGTCGCCCGTTGCAGCTCTTGTTGGCCTCATTGGCTGTTAGGTGTTAGTTAAATTTTTGGGGATTGCGTGGTGAAAGTGGGTTCCTCAAGAGTAGTGTCACCAGACAGTTGGTTGGACTGTTTGTTAAAAGAAGATAGAAAAGATGTTCAGAGAAACTGAGGGAGGGGGAGGCGAAG